GTAGGTGTCCCAAGCGATGTAGCTGCTCTACTAAATGCTGCCCCTTAATAACTTTCACTGACACAAAAGATCAATTCTGAATGCGCTACCAAGACTTCTTCGGCCCTGCCTGGCTGGTTCCTCTCTTGCTCCTGTTGGGGTACTAGTTAGGGCAATTTGGAGGCTACAGCGCAGCTTCTGGTGATCCACTACAGGTGGTACCCTGCTCTATAATAACTTTAGGGGCTCACCTTTTGTTGTAACTTGTTAAGCCTACATGTGCAGTGCCCATGGTTCCAGTCCTGGCTGCTCTACTTCCTATCCAGTTCGTTAATGGCCTGGAAAGCAATGGAGGATTGACCAATTCTTTGTGTCCCTGGACCCAGGTGTGTGAGACTCAGAAGGAACTCCTGGCTCCTAGCTTCAGATAATCCCAGCTCTGGCCTCAACGGCCTGAGGTGTGAACAGCTACTTGAGGAGGAAACTGACAGATGAAAGCTCTCTGTCTCTTCTCTATCTGTAATTCTGCCTTTCAAATCAAAATAAAGATTCATCCTCCATGTAAGATGTATCAGTATTTCATTTCTTCTTATGGCTAAATATTCCACTGTATGAACGTACCATATATTTTTCAGGAGCAGGCACTGGGGGCGGCAGATTGTTGCTATGACATTAGCATCCTGTATGAGCATTTGTGGCTGCTTCATATAATTTTTTAAAAGATTTTATCTTATATTTTTCTCGTTAAGACAGATGTACAGAGAGGAGACAGAAAGATCTTCCATCCGTTGATTCACTCCCCAAGCAGCTGCAGCAGTTGCAACTGAGCCGATCTGAAACCAAGATCCAGGATCCTCCTCGGGGTCTCCCATGCAGGTACAGGATCCCAAAGCTTTGGGCCGTCCTCGACTGCTTTCCCAGGACACAAACAGGGAGCTGGATGGGAAGAGGGGCTGCCGGCATTAGAGCTGGCACAAATATGGGATCCCAGTGCATGCAAGGCAAGGACTTGAGTTGCTAGGCTACTGCATCTGGCCCTGCTTCATATATATATTTTTTAAAGATTTGTTTATTTTTATTGCAAAGTCAGATATACAGAGAGAAGGAGAGACAGAGAGGAAGATCTTCCGTCCAATGATTCACTCCCCAAGTGACCCCAATGGCCAGTGTTGCACCAATCTGAAGCCAGGAGCTCAGAACCTCTTCCGGGTCTCCCATGTGGGTGCAGGGTCCCAAGGCTTTGGGCTGTCCTGACTGCTTTCCCAGGCCACAAGCAGGAAGCTGGATGGGAAGTGGGGCCACTGGGATTAGAACCGGTGACCATATGGGATTCCGGCACATTCAAGGAGAGGACTTTAGCTGCTAGGCCACCGCACCAGGCCCCATATATTTTTTTAAATGACTGTTTACTCAACAGAGGCAGAGACCAATTTTCTGATTCACTCCTCAAATACCCACAACAGCCAAAGCAGGGCCAGGCTGTGCTCTGCTCAGGGGAGACATGGGAAGAGCATGTGAGGACAATGTTGCGTGGGCGGAGGAAGAATACTGTTTCTTCAAAAGCAGGCTCAGTAAAGGCCTTCCAGAACACATGGATGGCAACAGAAGCATGCTTGAAGGAGCCAGGCTGAGACACGAGATGGGGGTATTTGCTGTTGAAGCAAGAAGCAAGGTAGGGTACCTGCAAGCTGGAGTGAAGGAAGGGCCATCAGTCAAACCAATGAGCCTGATGCACCTGCATCTTGTATGCCATGGAGAGACCTGAGTTTATTCTGAAGATACCAGCAACTCAAAGGAAAGTTGGAGATACTGAAAGAAAGATGGAATATTGAATCAAAGGGACGGGAACAAGTGTAAAAGGGCCTATTCATTAAGCATGTTAGTGCTTTAAAAAGCTATCCTTCTGGGGGCTACCTGCGGCACTGGCATCCCATTTGGGTGCTGGTTCAAGTCCTACCTACTCCATTTCTAATCCAACTTCCTACTAAATCATCTGGAAAGACGGCAGAAAATGGCCCAACTTCATGGACCACTCCCTGGCTTGGCTGTCTAGATTGTTCTCGACTCTAGCTGCTTGCTGATGCACAATGCAGGAAGCAAAAGCTCAAATAATTAGACTCACCAGCCTTTGGAGTGGACTGGTGGTGAGAACTCTTCCAGATAAAAACAAAACAAACCTTTTGCTCCATGCTTTTCTGCAGTCATCAGTCTTTTTCCTTTAAAGTTATATTTCCAAAATAACTACTTCCATGTAAAACATAAGTTTCTTATTCTATCTTGATTTTTTCACCATTTTACTAAAACTGCTCTTGTCAATATCACCAAATACTTTCAGGTCATTAATCCCAATAACCATCTTTTGCTCTTCATTTTTTTTAATTTTAAAAAATGTATTCAAAAGGTAAACCGATGTGGAGGCAGCAGCAGCCGGGGTGAGTGGAGATGCTCTTCTGTCTGCTAGCTCCCATCCCAAACGTCCACAATAATCGTAACTGGTGGGCTAGGACAAAGCCAGGACACAGGAATCCATCTAAGTCTTCCACATGGGTGGCAGGACCCCAAGTACTTGGGCCCAGGTGGCAGCTTGCGTACCCTCAGACCCTCATTTTAAGCAGACCTCACAGCCCCCTCAGACCCTGACAGAACTCAGCACTGCCTTCCTTCCTCGCGCCACCACCTGCCCCTCTGCCTCTTGTCTCAACATCTCTATCTTGCCTTGAATCACTGGCATACTATAAACCTTGGACCTTGGAGGACCACGGCCCTGCTCTTGCATCTCGTTTTTTTCAGGGTTCGCAAATTATTGTGTATTGACTAGACTCCAATGGCTAAACATGGATTATGTATTTCGTTTAAAAATTCAAAAGTATATCATTTGTCAAAAGACAAAATTACAAATTTAGCTTTCTTTGAAAGAACTTTTATTTTCACTCTGCTGGTTCACTCCTCAAACAGTTGCAGGCCAGAGGTGGGCCTATCTGAAACCAGGAGCCAGAAACTTCCTCTGAGTCTCTCTTGTGGGTGCAGCAGCCCAAGGACTTTGAGGAATTTGTAACTGCTTTCTAAGGCCATAAGCAGGTAGCAGGATTGGAAGTAGAGCAGCTGGGACTTAGGGGATACCAGTACCACAGGTGGAGGCTTAACTTAATATGCTACAGCCCTGACCCCCAAAGGAAAAAATGTTAAAATAACGGATCAGTTAACATCAGGCTACTTTTTTCTAGTAAGAATTAAAGCAGAACCAGGCCTGGTACATTGGCTCAGTGGCTGTTCTTGCCTTGTACATGCTGGGATCCCATGTGGGTAGCAGTTTGAGTCCCGGCTGCTCCACTTCCCATCCAGCTCCCTGCCCTTACTCTGGGAGGGCAGTAGAGGAAGGCCCAAGAACTGCTGACCCTGCAGCTGCACAGGGAACCCAAATGAAGCTCCTGGCTTCGGACTGTCTCAGCTTCGGCCTATGCAGCCACTTGGGGAGTGAAGGAGCAGACAGAAGATCTGTCTGTCTCTCTGCCTTTGCCCGTTCCTGCCTCCTGGCTGGCTACTCCCAAAGTGCTACCAGACAGCTGCTCAGGTTAGTGATTTGTTTTGCATAAGAATTCAGAGGAAGTTGGGCCCAGCGCGGTGGCGCAAGTGGTTAAGTCCTCGCCTTGCACGCCCGGGATCCCATATGGGCGCCGGTTCTAATCCCGGCAGCCCCGCTTCCCTTCCAGCTCCCTGCCTGTGGCCCGGGAAGGCAGTCGAGGACGGCCCAAAGCTTTGGGACCCTGCACCCGTGTGGGAGACCTGGAAGAGGCTCCTGGCTTCGGATCGGCATAGTATCGGCCCGTTGCGCTCACTTGGGGAGTGAATCATCGGACGGAAGATCTTCCTCTCTGTATCTCCTCTCTGTATATCCGCCTTTCCAATAAAAAATAATAAAAATAAATCTTAAAAAAAAAAAAAAGAATTCAGAGGAAGTTAAAGGAAATGGGACCCAGCACAACAGCCTTACTGACTACAAGTTCTCGCCTTGAGGATGCTAGGATCCATATGGGCACCATTTCTAATCCTGGCAACGCTGCTTCCCATCCAGCTCCCGTGGCAGACCTGGAAGAAGCTCCTGGCTCCTGGCTTTGCAATGGCTCAGCTCCGGCCGCTGCGACCACTTGGGGAGTGAATCCGTGGGTGGAAGATCTTTCTCTCTGTCTTTCCTCCTCTCTGTATATCTGACTGTCCAATAAAACTAAAATCTTTTCCAAAAATGCACCTGATAAGCTTTTGCGAATACGGGTGAGTGTCCTTTCTGTTTCTTGCTCTTCCCTGTCTATCCCTGACAGGTGGTTTCCTGGGTTAGCAACAGCTGAAACTCCTCTGGGCGTGTCACTAGGGAACTAATAGACCCCTGGCAGGGCGGGATAAACCCCTTAAGCTTTCCGGAGGAGGGCGGGAACCCACCCGAGATCAAGGAACAGATTAGATGCATGTCTGCTACCTGGCTCCCCTCATTCTGCCACATGAAAAATCCCATTTCCTTTAGCTCCTCCTTACACACGTACGCCGTCCACCTAGCAACCTTATGCAAAGTAACGACTTGATCTTCTGTCGCAATCACTACCAGCGGCCCAGCTATCACTCTCACCTCCGGTGGACAACGGTCTCAGACGTGGCCAGAATAAGCTCCTATCTTCCACTAAACGGCCCCAACTTATGACTCCTCGGCCCTAAACCTTGAGGGAGAGAGCGACGTCCCCAAATCTCCAAACCGTTCAAAACAAAACCCAAGTCCACCACTCACCACTATCGCAGCCACACGCACCTATCCCCTTGCTCTATTGCAATAGCCTCTGAATGTTTCAAAGTGTAAATAAAACCATCCTGAAATCCCACATCCACCAGTAGGGCCAGGGCCTCGCCCCGCCCCGCCCAAGGTCAGACGCCGACGAGCGCAGACGGGCGGCGCAGCGGCGTCGCACACTTAAGGCGTCGCCTAGTGGCTCTGATCGCGTCCCCAGCGGCGCCCGGAAACGACATCAAGGGAGGCGGGGCCGAGCCTGACAAACCGGACCGTGAAGCTTTGCGTTTTCTCTTTCCAGCCGGCCGAGCGATGGGTGAGTGTTGCTCCGTGCTGGGCCGGGGAAGGGGCTGAGTTCAATCCGGCGCCATCCTGCGTCGTAGCCAGGGCAGGAGGGCGGACACCCTCATCCCTGGGCACGAGCCCGCATAAGGAAGAGCGGCCATCGGGTTTTGGCCGCTAAGCCCTTCTACAACCCCGAACTTCCAGGGTTCCGGGCTGCGGGTTGCAGGCAGCAGTAACATGGCTGCCGTGGGGAAACGAGTGCGGGCGGCGGGCCGCACGTGGATGATGACACATCGGTAATGCTGCAAACTCCCGACTTCGCGGTGGGGAAGCGAACCTTGGAGAACTGAGCGTGCGGCCCGCCCGTGGCGGGTTCTGGAGCGCTCTTGCCGCCGGCCCCGAGTCCCCGCGGCCTCATCGTCCCGTCCCTTGGCTCCCCGCACACAGGTATCTCTCGGGACAACTGGCACAAGCGCCGCAAGACTGGGGGCAAGAGAAAGCCCTACCATAAGAAGCGGAAGTATGAACTGGGCCGCCCTGCCGCCAACACTAAGGTGTGTGTGTACAGGGCATATGCTGCAGGGGTGGGGAACATTCCTACTCGAGATCGTGGTGCTCAGATGCAGGGCTGGGCTCCCCTTGGGATCCTTGCGAGGCAGGTGGTGGTTGGTGCTGTCTGCAGACTTGGTGGTGGGACGTGATTGGGGTCTGTGTTTCTTGGAGGTAACCGGAGTGATGAGAAAGTATCCTTAGGCGTGGTGGTGGCCGTCCTGGTCACTCAAGTGCCACTTGCCGATGCAAGGACCTGTCATAGTTACACTGACTGGTGCCTCCCTCCTGCCAGTCCGGGTCCCCAGCTTCCCCGACGGCTTGATAAATTGGTCTTCATCTTTTGTTTTCCAGATCGGCCCCCGTCGCATTCATACAGTGCGCGTGAGAGGAGGCAACAAGAAGTACCGGGCCCTGAGGCTGGACGTGGGCAACTTCTCCTGGGGCTCCGAGTGTGAGTGAGGCTCCTCAGCAGGAAGTCCTGTGGCCTAGACCAGGTTCCTTGAACTTGCCTGATGGCCTTAGGGGATCCGGAGGGGCGTCCTGCCATGCCCCCTGAGGGATTTCGGAGGCTGGCTGGTGATCAGTCTTGCTTGGAAAACCGAGAAATGGAGAAGCTGACTTGATGCTCCCATCTCGGGCTGTCCTCGCTTGAGCAGGCCACTTGGCCCGTGGTTCCTCACGACTGATATCTGTGTTTCTTGAGAGCAGGTTGCACTCGCAAAACCAGGATCATCGACGTCGTCTACAATGCCTCCAACAACGAGTTGGTGCGCACCAAGACCCTGGTGAAGAACTGCATCGTGCTCATCGACAGCACCCCGTACCGACAGTGGTACGAGTCTCACTATGCACTGCCCCTGGGCCGCAAGAAGGGGGCCAAGCTGGTACGTGGCCCCTCCTGCAGGGCTGTGGGGAGGGGTCGGCCTTCTTGTGATGAAACTCTGTCCAGTTCTGCTACTGAAGGGAGAGAGATGACAGCCTTGAGTGCTGAGGAAGGCGGGTGCACACAGGCTCTGGTGAACAGCTGCTCCTTCCTGAGCTAATGTGCCTGTTGCTTTCATTCAGACTCCTGAGGAGGAGGAGATCTTGAACAAAAAGCGGTCCAAGAAAATCCAGAAAAAATATGATGAAAGGAAAAAGAACGCCAAGATCAGCAGTCTTCTGGAAGAGCAGTTCCAGCAGGGCAAGCTGCTGGGTGAGCTGGCTAAGGGGCTGGGGTGGGGGCAGGCCCCAGAGGCGCTCGCTGTGTGCCCGTCTCTGGGCCAGGGGTGGAGGTGTTTGGAGAAATCCATGGGCGGGCTGAGGGGCTGTCTCAGTGATGAAAGCTTTGTCCAGTTCTGCTACTGACTTTTCAGTGAGGATAAAGTGTGCCTGAGGAGACAGGGCTTCACGCCTGCCCCTGGGCTTCCTGTGCCTTGTAGAGATGGGTATGAGTGTGGCCACTTGGTTATTGTCCTAAGGATCACATATGCTCTCTTGCAGCCTGCATTGCATCAAGGCCAGGTCAGTGTGGTCGAGCAGATGGCTATGTGCTAGAGGGCAAGGAGCTGGAGTTCTACCTAAGGAAAATCAAGGCCCGAAAAGGCAAATAAATCCGCCCTTGTGTAATAAAGCTGTTTATTCTATTTGTTACGTCCATGTTGTCTGAATGTTTGGCTCGGCTCACCTGGATCCTTATGATAGTAAAGTGGATCCTTGCAGCCGACAATACTTGCCTCCCTCCCGTGATCCTAACCCTGATTCCCCTGCCCCATCTGTGGAGTCCCTTTGGGCCTTATTTTGTGTGTGTGTGTGTGTGTTTATCTTTATTGGAAAGGCAGAAACGGTAGGAGGGACAGGTCGTGATCTCCCATCTGCTGGTTCTCCCCAAGTGGCCACAGTGGTCAGAGCTGAGCCAGTCCATAGCCAGGAGCCTCTTCCAGGTCTCCCATGTGGGTGCAGGATCCCAAGGCATTGGGCCTTTGTCGGCCACTTTTCCCTCACCACGAGGAAGGAGTTGAATAGGAAGTGAGGCTGCCAGGATTGGAACTGGTGGCCATATGGGATCGTGGTGCAGGGCTTGAGCCACTAGGTACTGTACCTAGGTCTTCAGCTCTATTTTTTAAGGCTAGACTGACAGTGTGGGCTTTGTATTTCCAGCAGGGAAACTGCTAATCTTTCGATCTCACTAGCATAAACTCTGAGATTGGAAAGCTGTGCAGGAGCAGTACAGATTTGAATTGTCACTCTGGCATGGGGTGTAGTGCCACATATGGAACCAGTCCCAGTGTCAGGCTGCTACCTGTGATGCCAGCATACCAATTCAGGTCCTGGCTGCTCTGCTTCCTTGTGGTTCCTCACTTTGGCCTAGTTTAGCTCCGTTTTGGGGCTGCTGTTGTGCTGCAGGTTAAGCCATTAATGGGATTTCTGTTCTAAATTTTCAATGTCATCAGCATCAAACAGCAGCCTGTGCTCCCTCGCTGTTTGAAGAATATTCATTGCTTCAGAATAAGGGGCACCTTGTTTGGTGTTCAACACAATGCAGGTCAATGACTTCGTTTGTGCAAATTCACTGGCAGTGTGAATTTTCTGTGTGTTTGTGTAATTCTTCCAAATGTGACCTGAATGATAATTTTATAAGAAAACTTTTCGGGAAGAAAAAAAAACCACCGAGTGGCATGTAGTGTATTCCTCCAACACGTGCAAGACCTCTGTGCAAGTTTGAGATGGAAGATCTGTCCGATGATTCCCCAACTGACTACAACAGCCAGTTCTGTGCTGATCAGGATCCAGGAACTTCCTCCAGGTCTCTCACATGGGTGCAGGATCCCAAAGCATCGTGTCGTCTTCGACTGCTTTCCCAGGCTCCCGGCCCACAAGCAGCGAGCTGGATGGGAAGTGGAGCCGCCAGGATTAGAACTGGCGCCCGTATGGGATCCCAGCGAGTTCAAGGTGAAGACTAGCTGCTAGGCCACCATGGCAGGCCCAGACTACAAGTATTCCTAGGAAAGTACCAGAAGTTGATTTTAAGTGCATGGACCTCTACATGGGAGATTTAGATGGCTCCTGGTTTCAGCAGGTACTAGTCATTGGAGGAGTGACCTAGTAGATGCAATGCTGGCTTCCCACCTGGGTGCCTTAAAGGTTTTTATTGATAGAGATAACACAGGTTTAGAGGTGAAGATATGCTGGTTTACTCCCCAAGTGGCTGCAACGGCTGGAGCTGAAGGAGTCTTGTAATCTCCCATGCCAGTGCAGGGCCCAAGGCTCTGGACCACCGTCTGCTGCTTCCCCAGGCCACAAACGGAGCTGAATGGGAAGTGGAGCAGGTGAGATGTGAATGGTCTTATATGGGATCTTTGCACTTAACAGGATGAGGAGTTATTATTGAGCCATATTGCTGAGCCCACTAAATCGGTAACGGAGACCAGTTTTACATGCACCAATTGGCACTGGTGGCTGCAGTGGCCACAGCTGGGCCCTGTCAAAGCCCAAGAGCTGCATCTCTAGGTCTCCTGTGTGCTTGGACAGCTGAAGCACTTGGGCCATCTGCTGCAGCTTTAGCTGGCGTTGGAAGTTGGAATTCAAAGCACATGTGGGTTAGCAGTGCCTTGCCAGTCACTTCAACCTGGAGCAGCTAGGGCTTTGTGTGGGGTGTTCTCCATTGCTTACGTTGTTTTTAAGGCTTTATCGGAAAGGCAGATTAATGAAGAGATGTGAGCTTCCATCTTCTGGTATACTCCCCAGATGGCAGCAGTGGCTGGAACTGAGCTGGCCCCTCTGTCCCAGAACTGGGATTTCTCATGTCTTCCATGTGGGTTCAGGGCCCAGTGATGCTATCATATTATCAAGTTAGAAGATAAACGGTTCAGAAGCCAACTGGTTCGTGAACTTGGCTGAACTGTGGGTGGTCCCTTTGGTAGGTGACTAGGACAAATGAAGCAGGCGTTCAGACCTCTTTTTTCTGAGTACAGAAGCTTCCCTTAAGGACCAAGTGAGCTCACCCAGGGTGACCTCACCAAGTTAGTATAACACATGGCGAACACCAGACCTCTCTATTCTTGCTTCTGATTGACCAAAAAAGTGAATGGGTTCCTTGTCTAAAATCTTTAATTCCAGCACCTTTCCCTCTTTCACAGTTGACTAGTCACCTCCCCCCTAAAACTTAGGGAAAAAATTGCACAGTTATTTGAATGTGTACTGTCTCAGTGTGGACCTGGAAACGGGCTTAGAAATGTTGGTTGTGCAGTATCAAGCGTAGCCAGTTCGAGCTGGGCTGCCACCTATTAACCACTCAGTTGGCTGTAGTGGCCAAGGCTGAGCTAAGTGGATGCCTGGAGCACGTGGGCAGGAGCCCAAGCAATTCCCCAGATGCATTGGTGGAAGAGTTGGATCTGAAGCAGCCGGGGCTGGAAAAGGTGCCCATATTTAGCAGCCCCACCCATCAATTTAAACAATACTACACAAGAATATTCTCATTGTATTAGAAAAAAAAAAAAAAAAAACACTTGCACGTAGCATACAGCAAAGCCCCCAGTACACACCTCTGGAGATGTTATAAGGCTAAGGAAGATACAATCTTGCAGGCATTGGCAAGTATGACTTTGAAACTGACCACTGTCCTGCCTCGCCCCGCAACTTGTGAAAAAATCTAGCTGTAACCCAAATCCCAGACAGATGCCAAACTCCGCAGGACCTGCAAACCACCCGCCTTGCTACGCTGCCCAGGAAGCTGGGCTGTGGTTCTCCCGCACCCGCCCAGGCTTCCTTCTCGGGCCGAAGCAGCTGCACCCTCCACCCGGCCGCAGGCACACCGGGAGAGAGCTACTCCAGTCGCGCAGCTGGGAACAGGGAGGAGAGCAGCGGGGTCGGCCTGCAGGCACAGCGACCCTCAGGCTTCCAGGGCCTCCTCCCCGAGCTCATCCTCCTCCTCCTCGATGCGGTCCGCTGCCTCTGGATCCCCGCTCTCTTCCACCCGGAAGCGCACCACGTGCGGGGTCCGGGGCACTCCCCGCGCGCGGCCGAAGTTGCGGAGGCTGATGGCGGGGGAGGGCGCACCTGCACCCAGGAAGCGGCCGAGCAGCGGCGTCTGCGCGGCGTGCCGGGCGGGCGCGGGCGACGGCTCCACCTGCAGACTCTGCTCCGGGTCGTCGCTCATGCTGCAGGAGAGGGCGGAGGGTGGCTGAGCACTGGCTCCCACGAGGGTAGGGGCCCTGTCACTGGCGCCCCTGAGGGTGGGGGCACTCACCGCAGGTTGAAGGTGGAGCCCAGGAAGGAGGGCCGCAAGGATTCTGCCGCCGTGGCTACCGTGTAGGGGGGTTGCGGTTGGGCCTCATCCCAGTATGGGTCCTTCTCGGCAGGAGGCAGGTTCTGGTACATGTCGTCTACCGACAGCAGGGACACCTGGGGCAGCAGAGGGACATGCAGCGGTTCCCAAGGCAGAGCAGGCAGGGAGAGAGCAGGAGCTGAGATGCTGCCCCTCCTCCACCCTCACCTGCAAGTTGCGGTCTATGAGCTTGTTGGTTTCAAAGTCGTCGTCATCTTCACCAAAGGGGTTGATGATCTGCTCTGCCACCTGTGGCAACACAGTGTCTGCGCTCAAGCCCCGCTCTCTGCCCCCAGGGTTGAGGTGGACCTGTGTTGGTCCCTGTGTCCTGCAAGGGCAGGCTACCTTGAGCCAGCCAGCGTAGAAGAAGAACTGCAGCAGAGTGGTAAGAGGCACGTACATATCCGGGTCTCCCAGGGTCGGTGCGGCCTCCTGGCCGGGCTCCAGAGGCTCCGGAGGTTTGGCTGCCCCTGCCTCCGGCTCCAGAAACTGGCGGCCAACCAGACACAGGGCAAAGAAGGAGTAGACGGCTATGGTCACCACCTGGAGAAGGGAAAGCCAGGCTCACCTGGAGAAACGCCACCCCTGCCCTGAGGACCGGACTGGTTACAGGGGAGGGGGCAGGGTATTTAGCTAAGTGACTGGTGAAGCTGTTGGTTGGAACGCTGGCGTCCTACACTGCAATACCTGGGGTCTGTTTCCTGGCTCCTAAGAGAAATAAGTGCTTCCCTTGGCTGCTTTACTCCCCAAATGCACGCAGCAGCCAGACCAAAGCAAGGAGCCAGAAACTCCTTCCTGCAAACAAGCAGTCCCTTAACTTGGAGCACAACAATGCCGGCCCCTGTGTCTGGCTCCTGACTCATTTCTCGATGAAGCGGAGCCTGGGAGGCATCATAATGGCTCCAGTTACAGGGTTCTTGCCAACTGTGTGGGCAACGGGATTGAATTTCCAGTTTGGGGGAGTGGCCCAACAGATGGGAGTTCACTCTGTTTCTCTGCCTCTCAAATAAAAACAAAATCCACAACATGTAACAGGATGTGGCAGCACCCGCAGGGTGGTCATCTTGACAAGGGCGGGAGTGGATGAAGACATCTAATTCTGCTGTGTCTTTCTTGCATGTGGCCTGGGACATACAGGAAGCTCCAGGACCAGGAGGCGAGAGGCAGTTACCTGGGTGTAGACCAGCGGGATGCTGATCCAGTCGTAGTGGAACAGCATGCTGCACTTGGCCCGGTACTTGTTCAGCTCCTGGCAGGAGAGCAGGAACAGGTGGTCAGCACAGGTGAGGAGGCAAGCATGGGGAGGCAGCAGGGGTGACCGCGGTGCAGCTCAGGCCTGGAGGCTCCCTTTGCTGTGAGGTGTTACCGCTGGGTGTCTGTGTGACAGCAAGCACAGACCCCCCCAGAGGAGCCAGAACGCTAGTGACTTGTACCTCAGTCTCCTCATTTGTGACAGGGGGATGATAATAGAACCCTACCTTAAGGTCTATTGTGAGAGTTAAATTAGTTGATCTGGAAGAGTGCACCATCAGCACGTGGTTCAGGGACGTGCTGAGCACTCATACAACTGCTTTTCTTCTGCAAATCTAGGAGGGAAAGGGTACACAGCCCCGTCCTGAGCTGACTCACTTCCAGAAGAAGGCAGAGAGCAATGTCATCTCGGATCCGCCCGTCTTTCCGGGCCTGGGCCGCCAGGTTGGTGAACCACACGCAGGGAATCCAGTACTTGTTGAAGTCGGATTTCAGACTCTCAAACTTTTTCCTCTCTTCCTGGGACATGAACCCTGCTTGGGTGAAGTGGGTGGAGTGCAGGTGCATCCGCTGCCGCTAGGGGCTCCCCTCTTTGACCTGCACCTGTGGTCCCCAGACTCGGTCCTCGGAGCGCCCCCTTGCGGGGAAGGTCTCAAAGCTCCCCTTCCAGGGAGGCCTCGGCTCCAGGACTGCCCACCCTGTCCCTCCTTCCAGGGCAGGGCTCCCTGCAGCTGCGCACCTGCGTCCACCACGTGCTCCATGGTGGGGAAGCGCTTGAGTACGCGGGTACTGACTGAGCGCAGCACCAGCACCGACGCCAGGTTGGCATACCGGATGAGAGTGCGGCGCAGCAGGCGGCCGCGCTCGTCCACGCCATGCACGCTGGCCGAGATGACGCACATCAGCTGGTCCGGCAGTGGAATGCTGGTGTACTGGGACCACCAGCGGTTGACCACCAGAGTCACGTAGAAACCTAACCAGTTGCCGTTGGTGGTGTGGACAGGAAGGGAGTATGAAGGGATGGGACATCAGGGTTCCCGGTTCAGCAGCCAGCAGCCCTAGTGCGGGCCCAATGAGCCACGACACAGGGCAGATCACGTTCTGTGGGACCCCTTCCCCAGGCCACATCACCCGCCCTGTTGTGCCAAGGCCAGACCAGAAGAGGTGAGGGTCAACTTCCCCTACCCGAAGCAGAAGTGGGAGTTCAAGGCCAGATAATGGTTAACCCTGAGACCTGCTTCCCATGAGTGGGGAGGGGCCTGGCACCTCTCTCCAACACCTAGAGGCCAGTCATCCGGCCGGTAGGTGCTCTGTGCTTTGTGCAGAGTGAGAGTCCAGCAAGCAGAGCTTAGCCAGCTGGAAGTCCCGCACCTGGCACGCAGCTCTGCTTGCAATACTGTTGCCTCCTTCTGACCCTCAGAGGCACCAACTCAACCCAAAGGCCAGAGACGACAGCACAGAGGACCCCAGGGAGAACAGAGCCCCCAGGGGACCTTACCCAGGACAAAAGACAGGGGGATGAGGTCCGCGGAGCGGTTGCAGTAGCGGGCCACCTGAGCGTACACTTGCCTCTGTTCCTGGGTCAGCAGCAGCCTGGGTTAAGTACACATCAGGTCAGGCCTAGGATAGCCTGGTCCCCCAGCAGCTAGCCAGCTGTGGGTCCCCTGGCCCTTACCGGTAGGTGATGCTGAGCGTGGCATACAGGGCGATGAACAATAGGAACTCCTTGTAGAGCAGCTTGTAGATGCTGCCCCTCCATCGGAGCAGCAGGCCAGAGAAGCCTCCGAAACGGGCTTCTGCCACTTTGAGCGTGTATGAGACCGTCATGGTGCTGGGGACCTGGGGCAGCAGGTCCAAAGAGCTGTTCCTCCTCTTAGCTTGCCTTGCCCTTACCAGGCAACCTTTCTTCCTGTCAGGTCACACACCCAAGCTTCCACCCTTGGTAGCAGGCAAAGTGCTGTGTGTCCCCAGCAGGACATATATAGTCCATGCTGAAGCCAGGACTGGGCTGGGCAAAGCAGAGCTGAGTGCCCCTCAAGCAGGAACTTCCCAAGCTCCTCTTCCACCTGCACACCGGAAGTCACTGTATCCTGAACTGCTGAAGACAGCAGCCCCATCTCTGGCCCAGACTCACTCTGCAAGCCCATTTTCTAGTTTCCCCAAGTCGAAGGGTACTCTCCTGCTCTCTCCCCTCACTCCCTTGCCACATAAACATCTGCTTACCTGCACAGAGCTGATTGAGAAACAGCTGAGTTCCCCTTCGTGCCCCCAACTTAAGTACCTCCTGGATCCATAAAATGAGGCTGGCCTGAAGTTATCATTGATGGATTAAGGCTGTCACCCAACTTCCCCTGGGAACTAGGTGTGGCTCCCTAGCCAAGAAGGGCTGTTAGAGTGCCCTAACCTGCCCCCCACCCCCACCCCCCGCAGGTGGGATGGCAGCTTGGGACAGGGGAGAGCACGATGAGCTGTTAGAATGCCATCAGTGCTGATCAGAGAGCACTGCCTGAGTGCCAGGTGCAGTGCTAGGGACACTACTGTGTCATCTCTTGCAAGCCTCATCATAGTCCCACAAAGCAGGAATGATTCCATTTACAGATGAGCCTCCAAGAGGTGAATGACTTACCCATGGTCATGGCAGCCAGGCCATGTTGGAGGCAGGATGCAAAGCCAGAGTGGATAGCCTTGAAAGGCTGTGCCAAGGCTTGAGCTCTGGGGCCAGGGTCATTTGCACTGGCCACAATGCCAACCTTCTAGGTCAGGTTCCCAGGGTCCTGAGGGAGCCTTCCTGCCATCACTATGCCACAGAGCTGACAAGGCCACACATGTGGGAACTCGGGCCCATGGAGACAGGCCTCCTGGAGTGCTCTGTTTCCACTGTGTTGACAGCTTGGAGTGTTCAAGAAACAGAGGGGAGACTTCCACATCCAGGCTTCGATGCTTAATTTGTAGAAGAAATGATGTCTGAAGTGAGTAGAGGTAGTACCTGAGGCAGGTCCCTGGCTTAGAGGTTAAGACGCCCTCATCTCACCTGGGCCAGGTGCGTGGGTGTGACACTCTGTTCCTCGTGCCAGCTTCTTACTAACACTGTGCAGGCAGCAGGTGGTGACTCAAGTACCTGGCTTCTGGTCACTCACTTGGAAGATCTGGACTAACTCCTTAGCTCCTAGCTTTGGACCCGCCCAGTCCCAGCTGTTGCAAGGATTTGGAATATGAACAAGTACATGAGAGATTTCTCTTTCCCTATCTCTCAAAAAAGCCAAGAAAGTAAGCATTATGGGTTTTTTTTTTTTTTAAAGATTTGAAAGACAGATTTCACAGAAAGAAAAGGAAAGAGAGGAAAGGTCTTTCATCTACTAACTTACTCCTCAAATGACCACAATGGCCAAAGCTGAGCTGGGAGCTGAGGGCTGCTTCCCAGTCTCTTGTGTAAGTGCCGAGTGCCAAAGACCTGGGCCGTCCTCCATTGCTTTCCCAGGCTACAAGCAGAGAGCTGGATCAGAAGTGAAGCAGCCGGGACACGAACTGGTGCCCATATAGGATGCTGACGTCGCAGGATGGAGGATTAGCCTCCTATGCCACCAGGCTGACCCCCAAGATTTATTTATTAAACTAAAAGGCAGAACAACACAGAGAGGGAAAGAGATAAAAATCTTTTGTTTTGAAAGATTTTTTTCGGCGGGGGGAGTCCAACATACAGAGGGGAGGAGAGACAGAGCTGGTTCACTCCCCAAGCAGTCACAATGGCCGGAGCTTAGCTGATCCAAAGCCAGGAGCCCCTTCCAGGTCTCCCACGCGAGTGCAGGGTCCCAAGGCTTTGGGTCGTACTTGAGTGCTTTCCCAGGCTATAAGCAGGGAACTAGAAGGGAAGTGGAGCAGCTGGGACACAAACCAGTACCCATATAGGATCCCAGTGCATGCAAGGTGAGGACTTCAGTTACTAGGCCACCACACTTGGCCCGAGACACATTTTTTTAAAGAAACTAAAACTCAATGTAGAAAGAAAACTGAATAGCTCCTGTTCCTCCCAGGGCTAATGCAAAATCCCAGGAGGATGGGCCCGGCGTGATGGTGCAGTGGTTAAGGTCCTCGCCTTGCACGGGATCCCATATGGGCGCCGGTTCTAATCCTGGCAGCCCCGCTTCCCATCCAGCTCCCTGCCTGTGGCCTGGGAAAGCAGTTGAGGACGGCCTAAAGCCTTGGGACTCTGCACCTATGTGGGAGACCCGGAAGAGGCTCCTGGCTTCGGATGGGCGTAGCATTGGCCATTGCGCTCACTTGGGGAGCGAATCATCGGACGGAAGATCTTCCTCTCTGTATATCTGCCTTTCCAGGAGGATGATCCTGCCTCTGACCTCTCTAGAACCTTCCCTCCCTCCCCACTCTCCACTGCTCCCCAGAGCTTGCTTTCACCCAAAACTTCTGAAGAAGAGGAAGGATAGAGAGGCCATTAGGAGCATGGGCTTGCACTTCTGACAGACATGCGTCTGGAACCCAGCTCTGTAGCCTAATCTCTTACACCTCAGTTTCCCCCGGGGAGCACATGGAAGGAATGCCTGGAGCCCTGAGCGCTGCAGCCATCTGAGTGGGGCTGCTGTTACTAGGAAAAACCGAAGCTGTTTCCTTAGCTTGCTTCCTTCCAAGATTTTGTTTATTTGAAGGGTAGTGTTGCAGCGGGAGAGGACAAAACAGAGTAGGACCTTCTGTCTGATTGTTTTCACACACACACACACCCTGATGGCCACAACAGCCAAGGCTGGGAGCCTGGAAGTGTACCCGGGTCTCCCACATGGGTGCAGGAACCCAAGCACTTGGGCCATCTTCTGCTGTTTTCCCAGTTGCATTAGTAGCAACTTGGATCACAGGTAGAGCGGCTGGGACTCAAACCTGGTTGCAAGGCCCAACGTGGTAGCCTAGTGGCTAAAATCCTGGCCTTGCATGGATCACATGTAGGTGCCAATTCATGTCCTGGCTGCTTCATTTTCCTTCCAGCTCCCTGCTTCTGGCATGGGAAAGCAGTTGAGAAGGGCCCAAAGCCTTGGGACCCTGCACCTGCTTGGGAGACCCAGAAGAGCTCCTGGCTCCTGGCTTCAGATTGGCGCAGCTCTGGCCGTTGCAGTCACTTGGGGAGTGAATCATCAGATGGAAGATCTTTCTCTCTGTCTTTCCTTCTCTCTGTAAATCTGACTTCCCAATAAAAAATAACAAGTAAACTTAAAAAAAAAAAAAAGCCTGGTTGTATGCTGGTGTCATGGACTTCGGCTCAGCTTGCTGTGCCATGCTGTACCCGCATCCCTTAGGTTTCTGCCTGTTTGCTGACTACTGCCACCCTAGCCTCCCAACATTTGACCGAAGAGATTTTCTCCTCTTGCTCTGTCAGCTAATGCCCAGCCAAACAGTGCTAGTCCTGCCCTCTAAGCCAGGTATACAAGGTTGTCTGGGACTCAGCCACTTCTACCCCAGTCACCAAGCCCTAGCCTGGTATTTTTTTTTTTTTAAGATTTATTCTTTTATTGGAAAGTCAGATTCACAGAGAAAAGGAGACAGACAGAAAGATTGTTTATCCACTGGTTCACTCCCCAAGCAGCCACAACACCCGGAGTAGAGTGGCCCCAATAGCCAGAGCTGAGCCAATCTGAAGCCGGGAACCAGAAACTACTTCTGGCTCTCCAATCTGGGTGCAGGGTCCCAAGGACTTGGCCCATCCTCTGCTGCTTTCCCACATGGCAATCAGGGAGCTGGAAGGGAAGTGGAGCATCTGGGGTATGAACCAGTACCCATATGGGATCCCAGTGCATGCATGGTGAGGACTCGAGTCACTAGGCCACCATGGTTGGCCCAAGACACAAGTCATTTTTTATTTTTTAATAAGATTTGTTTATTTTCATTGGGAAGTTGATTTACAGAGGAAAGAGATAGAGAGGGACAGTTCTTCCATCTACTGGTTCATTACTCGAGTGGACACAAAGCCAAAGCAGAGCTGGAACTGAGCTGATCCAAAGCCAGGAGCCAGGAATATCTTCCAGGTCTCCCACGCAGGTGCAGGATCCCAAGGCTTTGGGCCGTCCTCTACTGCTTTCCCAGGTCACAAGCAGGGAGCTTAATGGGAAGTGGAGCAGACAGGCCATGAACCAGCACCCATTTAGGATCCCAGTACAGGCAAGGCGAGGACTTTAGCCACTAGGCTACTATGCTGGGCTAAACCTGATGCTTTTTACAAGGCTCCTTCCAGGTTTGGCCCAGGGAGCCCCTGGGTAGTTTGTGATGAGCGCACCCAGCTCATTCCTCAGATTCCCCATATTTCAGCCACTGAGCTGTGCAGCCTGGGGCACCTCCTCCAGCCTGTGAGCCGCTTCAGGGCCATGCTGGATCTGGTCAACTCAGTGAGGCCAGTGAGGCCTTGAAACCAAGCAAGCTCCTGGCCCTTCTCCCTTCTGTCTCTCCTCATTCCCGTCCTGTCCTTCCTCTCTCCCTATCTTCCTTTATTGAAGATCCCACATATGGATGATTTTGAAACCTTTTTGTATCCAAAATGAATTTGTTTAAAACTTCTATTTTCTGGACCCAGTGCAATAACCTAGCGGCTAAATCCTCTCATTGCATGTGCCAGAATCCCATTTGGACACTGGTTCTAATCCCAGCAACCCCACATCCCATCCAGCAAACTGCTGGTGGCCTGGGAAAGCAGTTGAGGATGGCCCAAAGCCTTGGGACCCTGCACCCGCTTGGGAGACCCAGAAGAGCTCCTGGCTCCTGGCTTCGGATTGGCGCAGCTCTGGCCGTTGCAGTCACTTGGGGAGTGAATCACCAGATGGAAGATCTTTCTCTCTGTCTCTCCTCCTCGCTGTATATCTG